CACTGAACGATCGTTAAAGGCAGGTGGCGCATGAAGGCAACAGACCTTACAAAGCGCCTCCACGGAACCGACCAAACTGGACGACGAGCGGTTCTCCTGCCACAGCAGCACCTCACAGTCGATGATGATGCCACGACATTTGTCCCGCAGCTCCGCCATGTTGATCAACAGGCTTAGAAACAACACTTGAAAATCGTACCGTTCGGTGCACGGAATGAACTGAGGTATGAGAAACGTGATGCACTCAAGGCAACTATTCAAAAACGCCGATGTTTCTGACAGTCGAGTGCAACAGAGGTCTAAACAATTATCACTTCGATAAAATGCCACCTTAACAGTACGTTTCGCCTCACCATTGTTATTCGACAGGTTACACAGCAGACGCAGCAAGAACTTCAAGTCTTCGATACATACCAAGAAGTCAGCAGAAGTACTCGGATCCATATTCGCTCTCTCTTCCACAGACGAACAGGGTTTAACAGGACTTAGTTTACGAACCAGATTTAAAGCCCAGTTAAACCACCTTCAAAAAGATATCGCATAACAGTCATGGAGAAACACCGTGTAAAACTGAATCTTCATGATAGGAAAAATTTCCGTTATGTACCTTAAAAGAGAGTTCATAAAATTCAGCCCTTCGAAGCTAACAAGACGAGTTTGATTTTCTCGTTCCTTGATAGTGACGTTCTCCAAAATTCGCAACGGACGTTGAAGAACCTTCAATAAACTTAGCGGGTTCGTTAAGTCCGGTTTCAGAAGTTCCTCGACGGTATTACAAACTTTAAACAATGAAAATGTACAGACCCATCATAAAAATACAGATGAACAAATACACGTACATAATAAAGCAACTCGATCCAAACCACCACAGAGACGCAACTCCCGCTTGAACCAGCTCGACTGCATGCGACTGCTTATGAACACCAAGGCCTCCATGGAAAGGAAACTTGCCTTAAAATCAACATCAAGAAAAAACGGAAGGAAATTAAATTTCTGTTCAGATGCCGGCAAATATGCGTGCTATACCAAATAAGATCTATTCTCTTTTGCGTATTAGCCATCCATTTTTAAAGTAGTTATGCTGAATTCTATGCTAGATTTCGAGAGTTCAACAGAAGAAAATCAGAAAAAAATTATATATTTTCACTGAAATTCTAGCACCTAATATTTAGCCTTCACAGACGCAAGACAAGTTCCATAAGAGAAGGAACTAAAGCGCAAAATAATACATTCATACACCCTTGTGAATGTAATAACAATCGCCGGTGGTCCACCATAAAAATATATACGCTAAAAAGCAACTAGTATTTCTAAAAAAGCAGTCACCTATCTAACGCTAATCGGGGAAGCGGTTGATTTGCAGCGATGTTCCATATATACATATGCAGTCTAAAAAACAACTGATTTTGAAGCTGCTCTTGATTCAGTATAACTCTCAATAATGAGAAAAATCTTATACAGTTTGGAATATCCGTGAGCATTGTTTTCATTTGGAAACATGAATGCAGGAATAAGGTCGTCATTAAAGTTCACAGAAGGTTATCATTAGCATAAACTCAATTTTTGAAGCTTTATATGTAATTTGCTACTAATTACGCAGTTCAACATGGAGTTGAAATTTTCTCATGTCCGCTTAACACAGTTTTTGACATTCTCCTTCGAAACCGAGCAGCCATAGAAAAAGAACATCGCATTTTTGAGGTCAAATTTCAAGATACCGACCAGATACTTGAAGGCGTGGAACATGGGTTGGTGTGTAAAAGAGGAAACGGGTTCGCCACCTGATGGCTTCCATATATAACATAGCTGCGAAAGCTGGCTTCATCTTTAACGCCCAAAAATCAAACACTATGAGGAAATAATCAGGTAAATGGAATCAGCGAGTGCAACAGGAGAGGTTAATAACTTAAGTACCTGGATGCATCATCGGAATCTCCGTGCGACAGCAGCCACTTAAAATTAAGTACCGTACTTTTTGGACCATAGGGCGCACTTAAAATCCATATATTTGCAAAAAAAATCGCCACTGCGCCCTATAGTCCGGTGCGCCTTATATATGAATTTTGGCCTGAATCCTTCATACAAAAGATG